CCGAGAACGCCACGGCAAAAACCGAAAGAATGTTAAGACCGCGGCGCCACGGCTGTCGCTACCTCTGCACGGTGATCTCGAAATTGTTCCCGGCTTTGACGATCACGTCCTGCGCGTCCTTGTGCCTCAGGTTGTACATTTCGGTGTTGTTCACCCTGATAACTGCGTCGCCGGCCTTCAAGCCAGCTGCTTCCGCCGGTGAGCCGCTGTTAACCTGCAACGCGCAACGTTCCTTTAACGAACACGGTATAGAAAGACACCACTAACCGAACTAACGGGCGTATCGTGAAATATAGAACCGAGTCGTTTAAAAGCCAACGCGGTAAACCTCGGAAAAGAACAATTTAGAATATACTCTTTCCGAAATAATTTCCGATATGGACGAAACGAAGTCTGAGTAAACCTTTCGATAAACAGAATATTAAGTATTCATTGGCATCGACAAAAATCGACTCAACTGCATTGGCTTAGCGACTCGATTCTTATTCGCCGGATTCGATTTCATTCTAATCGCGATTGTCCTTTTCACAGGGAGATGCATGAAAATCTGTTTTCGAACGAGAGCCCAAAGGGTTTTCCGTTCGCAGCGTACAGCGCGCAGAAGGGTTCCATTGAAAAACAGATTTCCATGTCCGGCCGACTGGTTGTCAGATAACACGAGGCGCTTCCCCGCGATCAAGATAACAGGACCGCGGCGGAGGAGCGCCGGTAACAAGATCCGCGCCGGATAATCGAAGTTGTACCGGCCTTTGGATCCATCATCGACTTGGGTCTATTTTTACGGGACACGCGGCCCGAGCGGAGCAGACTCCTCTCCTCTCCAGAGTCCAGGCATCAGCCACTATATTTAAGTGCGCGCAGCTCGTTACACCTCGGATGTCGGATACTGTGCGCCCATTCACGCGGACACGGCCCGAAAGGGAAAGGAAGGGAAAAAAGAGGACGCGGCGGCGCGCTAGCCGAGGAGAGGAGAAGCCTCGAGAGAGAGAAGCCTCTCGTCTCTCGTCCGGGAGAACCGTTTTTGCCGGGTAAAAGATTCCCCGTGTTTATTTTTCGATCGCCCAAGAAGCCGACGCCGCCGCCTATCCGTTATCTCCGTCTCTCCGCGCTCGCGGCTCGCGGCCGCGCGTCCGTGGGATCGATCGCGAGGCGAATCTCGGCTCGTCTAGGACGACAGGCGAGTGTCGCTTCATCTTTCCTCGCCTTATCCGACCGCAACGGACGCCCCCCGGCAATTAAGGAAACGGATTACCTCGCGTGATCAACGAGCCGCCGTAAATCATCGTAATTTATCGCGTTACACCTCGCGCGCGCAGCCTCGCAGCCGCGATTCTGCGCGAGGTTAATTACGCTATTAATATGTTTGGTAAACGGCGCGAGATCAATGCGCGCCCCTCTACCCCCCGACCCTCCGGGCACAGCTTTTCATGCCGCGCGGGATCGAAACCGAGACAAAGAAACGACCGCGCGACAACCCACGAAAACTCATTAAGAACCACCCGCGGCTAGATCGCGCGCCGGGCTATCCTCGTTTTCCCTGGCGTGCCCGCCGGATTCGGGAATAATTAATAGATCCCGCGCAGATCGGAGCCCCGGCCTCGGTTCCCTTCTATAAATACGGCCGGTGATTTATTACAGGTATTTTTATATCGCGAGATTCCGGACGACAGGCAACGATCGCCTCGCGCCGTGAAACCGGGCTCCGAATAATTTTTCCAGCGGAATGTAGGTCGCGTAGAGACCATTCGAGTCCGAGCTCGACGCGTGCGTTCCGAATGATCGGCGTCTGGCTTTTCCCTTGGACTCACGCTCGCGACGTCGACGCGGAATCAGGCCAGAGGGTGAGTCGTCTGTCCGTTCCGTTCGTTCGTTCGATTCGCGTCTGCCTCCAGAAATAGGGACCGCGGAATTGCGTCATCGTTGCTGTAATAGATGGATACGCTCGCCGCTGTTCGCGGCTGTTATTATCAACAACCGGCCGGAAGCGCGACCGAGGATCGTCCGGCGAATCAAAGGGAATCCGGAGTCTTTATCGAGCGGGCGAACTAACTCGAATCTCGCGGCACGGTTTCTAGAGGCCGTCGTCGCCGCAGTGGTCCGGCCGTTCGACCGCATAGCGCGAAATTCGAGAACTCATTTGGTCGATGACCAAAGAACCTCTGACCAAGCCGTCCTCTGGCTGTCCCTAGGTCCGCGACCACGTAGGACGTAAGTCAGGGTTAAGCTCGGTGGGCACCGTGAAAGCCTGCCTCTAAAAATAGTCCTGGACCGGTCTAAAAATAGGCGGGCGAACACGTAGAACGCCGGTTACACGCACGGCCGGCGCACACGCACACGCACGTACACCTCCTCGTCGAGGGAGCCCGAGCCGAGAGATAGAATGCACCAAGGTGCAGTATAGTCCTCTACGTATGACATATCTGGCCGGCCGTTTTCATTCCGCCAGACGGGACACGGCCTCTCTGCCGCCGCGCGAACCGCGATGAATGAACGAGTACGCTCGTACTCGTCGGCGTGTACGCGGTTCCGTGCGAGTACACGATGTCTCGCGGTTCGGCGCACGCCTCGCGTAATAATAGCGTGCGCCGCGATTTCGGATAAACCTTCTGTTCGCCGGGAATCTGACGCGCGAGCCTCGTACCGCGCGGTTCATTCTTCCACGCTCGAGCATTCTTGCCGAACGGAATCCATTGTTCCCCCGGCGCGCGGTTTCGCCGCGCGGAGCTTCGGAAATGGACCGACGGTCGATCCACCGGAACGCGTCGCGATTTTTCAAGGGAACTTCGGAAATTCCTTGAGCACGCCGGTCGAATCGGTTGACTAGTTAGCCGGAGGTATTGCTAATAACGCCGCTAAAAATAGACCCGAAATATGCGCGACGCGGGCGCGAGTAGATGCACTTGAATGCAGTCGAACCCGAGAGGGAGAATACGCCAAGGTGTACGAGGTACGCATTCCAATGGGCGGGTTATCAGAGACGGATCCATCCCACCTTCCACGCTGGAATGCATCTCTGGTCTTTTTTCTTTCTCTCACTTTGAGGGCTTAAGGCTCCGTTCATACGTGCTCGCGCTTGATACAGCCTCGAAAAACGTGGACTGCCGGGGGCGGCGGGCAGGGGGCGCGGGCCTCGGTCAGTGACACCGGTTCCAATCGGATCGAACGAAAGGGAACGCGTTCGGAAGGAAATAAGTCACCGATACTCGCCTTTTCGGCCCGCCTTCCCTCTCTCGCGAGTCGATCGGAATCTATACGCGCACGGTCGTCGTCAACGGGAACGACGAACGCGAACGATAAGACCACCGACGTGGTCGCCGCAACGGGGACCGAGGATTGCGCTAAATACCGGTTTCCACGGGAATCCGCGGGATCCCCGCGTTCGTCAAATTCCGAATGGCCCGCGGATTCCCGCGGCATCGGCTCTAATTATATTCCCGCGATTCCTCGAATCGTCGCGCGCTAACGGCGCGGCGCAAAGTCAACGGCGGCCTTTGTTGCCCGACGACAGGGGCCGGAGGAGGGAATACGGGGAGTGACGTCAGCTCGAAATTATTGGCGCGCGTTCGACCTGGTCTTATCTTTTCGAGCGAGCCGCGCGGCTCGTTGCTTCTCGCGATATGTAACGCGCGGGGACACGCGCGCGTACCCGCCGCCGTAAACCTCCTTCTACGGAAGGCTGAATATCGATGACGACACCTCGGAGAGCCCGACGGTTTTTCGCTCGCGCCGTCTCCTCTCTCGCCGATCCGTCTCGCGGCGGCTCGCGGACGCCTCTTTCGACGCTGGAACTGCCTGACGCGTCTAGCTCGCGTTTCTTTCGCGAGCGTTCGAAGGCTGATTAAGCGAGAAGACTGTTAGGCACGTTGCAGGGAACCTGGCACTCTCGTCTGAATGGTCAGATCGACGCGCCTTCCCCACGTCATCTTCGGTTTTGTCTACGATTGGACCGTGCGAACCAATCGCGACAAAGAGTTTCCGGACTCGCAATTGGATTTCTCGAACTGTATCTGCTTAGAGTGACGTCACGAGTGCCAGGTTCCTAGCAACTGACGGTACCGGGTTCCGCGTTAGCGAAGCCGACCTTTGGTTCGAAAGCGAAGGGCAAAGATCTTTTTGGGACTCGACGTGCAATAGCGTCTCTTTCATCCTCTTCACTTTTGGACCAAAGTTTCGATAACGTAGGACCTTCAGAATCTAGTTTTCTCCTAGACTTCTCCTAGAATAACTATACATCGCGTACGAATACTCTTTGAACGCGTGAAATCGGAAATCGGCTAGACTCGTCAGGTAGTCGGAGCGTTAACAAGTGGAACGGGTTCTCGAAAGAGCTCGGTAAGCTCGCCGGCGAGCGGAAGCGGTCGAATTCCCGAGCGCGATTTCGATTCCCGGAGGTGCGCGCTATTAGTCCGGGAATGACGCATTCTGCCCGGAAGCGCGTCGACGCCTCGAGCCACAAAGAGTGCTTGTTGCGAGCGGCCGAAAGAGAATCGAGAGCGCGGGACGACGCGGCGCGAACGCCTCGCAGGAATGGGCTCACCTCGCTTCTTCGTCAGCTGATAAGGGGATCGATGGGGTAGCGGGCTCGTCGTAACGACGTCGATTAGAGTTATCGGCGCGTCGACCGTTTTTATTCGTCCTCCGGCCCTCTCGGCGGCTCTCTCTCCACTCGGCGTATCGCGCGAGTTATTTTCATAGAGCTTCGAGCGGATAGAATCGCTTCTTCGCCTCTTTTTAGTTT